CAGAAGAATGTAATCTCCTTGAGGGCAGGGACTATTTGTTTTGTATTTGTATACCTAGTGTTTACTACTGGGTCTATCACAAGTTGTTGTTGCTGTTGTTTGCTATTTCCTTATCCAGCTCATTTTACAGATGAAAAAACTGAGGCAAAGAGGGTTAAGTGACCTGTCCAGGGTCACACTGCTAGAAGGTGTTGTTTTGAACTCAAGTCTTACTGACTCTGGGCAGCTAGATGGCATGGTGGATAGAGTGTGTATGGCCTGGATCAGTAAGATTCATCTTCCTGAGTATCATCTTCCATTATCTCTGCCAAGGAAACCCCAAATGGGGTCATGGAGTACATGACTGAGCAACAACTCCCTGACTCCAGGCCCAGCCCTCTATCCTCTCTGCCACCTAGCTGCCCCTGAATTCTGCCAGCTACCACTGCCCTAGCTACTACAATCACTTAGTAAGCACTTAAAAATCCCTTCCTGGAACACCATTAATATATTTGCTATCTCCCGCAATTAGAAGGTAACCTCCTAGAGGACAAAGACTGTCTTATTTTGCATTTTGTTTCCACAGCACTTAATACAAAGCAAGCCCTTAATGAATTATTTTCTTCCGTTCAAAGACGTTAGAAAATGCTGAATGATGAAAACATAAATATCCAAATTTCTAGTTTCTGCCCCAGTCCAGTGAAGGAGCTCCTCACTGACTCCCTGCCTTATTTTTCTGAGCACTCTCAAATGAAACCATTTCTATTATTCAGGTGGGGTGCAGTTCAGAGCCTTCCAGGAGGCAGAAAGGGCGGGCCGAGCTGAAGGGGAATAAGACATCATCCGACTGAGTAGAAAGTACCAGCAAAGGCTGGGAAGCTGATGTATTTATTGCTAATGAGATGAATGACCTGAATCCATCCCAGGAAGCTTAGGGCTAGTTGGGTGGATGCTGATTGGACCGTTGAGCTGGAAGTTGGTTGCTGTAGCAACCTGCTCCGGGAGAGTATGGGCCAAAACTCAGATTCCACCGCTGCTCCCCCCAAATAATTTGCAAAACGAGAGGGTTGAACTAGATAGTTTTTAAGTTCATTTCTGGCTCTAAATCATACGCTCCTAGGGATCCTCTTCTTCCTATACCTTTGCAACACTCTCTCCAATTTCCTCCAGTCTCCACCCCCTTTAACTCCCACCCCCCACCCCCGCGTGCTTCACTTCCACGTGGCTCTGTTTACATCAGTTGCCTGGGAAACCCAGGCTGGGAGGAGCTCCACAGGTACAATAATAAAGAGCCAATGGGTGCTCCACGTCTCAGTGACGCCAGGACGCATGGGGCGTGGCCAGGCCGCCCTGGAACGCCGTGCGGAGATTGCCCGCTGGGTGGCGCTGTTCCCCTCGGGGAGGTCTTCACTGGGGCCCCTGGCGGAGGTGGGGAGAGGCGGGCAGGAGCCAGGGCTAAGGAGCCCTCTGCGTCAGCTGTTGCTCACTGCGCCGCGCCAGTGTCAGGCAGGACTTGCCCGCAGCTCCATGCCTGTTTTCGGCTTGGCACATCCACCCTCAGAGAACCAGGTAGGTGCCACCTGTTCGGGATTGGAGCGGGGGGAGGGCCCGAGGGGGGCGCCGGCTGTTGCCCGGCAGAGCGGCATGAACGTGCCCCCGGAGCCGGAGCGGACACCAGGGTCGTGGTGGTGGGGAGCCCGAGGGGCCGGGGGCTCGAGC